GAAGAGTCATATGAAGAGATTAATAGAGTTTGTTACAGTTTAATTAAAGTACAATTGTAAAATCTGATAAATATTGTTTTTCCTTGATAAAGTGTTGTGTTCAATGAAGTTTTGTTGGATCTTTTCCGGACTCTCGCCCACTTTGTCCACCTCACTGTGTAATGTGCTTAAGTTAAAAAGCAGTTACTGAAAATTGGTCAAGGTTAATCAGAGTACATTTACCCATCCTTTCACTTTGTAAATGTACCTTCCTGTCCACCACACCTATGTCCCTCATAATCTTATATACCTCTATCAGGTGCCTTGTCAATCTTTACTCATAGAAGAAAAACAATGCCAGCTTATTCAATCTTTCCCCATTGCTTAAACCCTGAAGCCCAGGCAGCATCCTGGTAAAACTCCTTTGGACCACCGAATGCAATCACATCCTTTCTATAATGTGGTGACCAGAACTGCAGTACTCCAGTTGTGGCCTAACATTTTATACTCTTCCAGCATAACTTCCTTCCTCTTGTAATCTATCCCTCAGCTTATAAAGATAGGTTTACAATGTACCTTCTTAACTGCTTTATCTACCTGTTCTGCTACCTTCAGGGATCTGTAGATATGAAAAGTCCCTTTAATTTTTAATACTTTCCAGGATCCTACAATTCATAATGTACATCCTTGTCTTGTTAGCCCTCCTGAAATTCATTACCTCACACTTTACTGGGTTGAATTCCATTTGCTACTGCTTTGCCCGCCTGACCAGTTAACATCCTCCTGCAGTTTATGGCTAAACTCCTATATACTGCTCTACCAATATTCATGTCACATTCATGATCTTCTTCATCATACTAAATACATTTAAGTCCAATCATTACCACAAACAAGCAAGAGTCCTGGGAAACCATACTAGAAACAGACTTCAAAACACAGAAAGATTCCTCTATCATCATTTTCTGCTTCCTGCCTCACAGTCAATTTAAGGGCCAAAAAAATGCCACTTTGCCTTGGATCCCATTGGCTTTTACTTTCTTGACCTGTAAGTCATGAGGGACCTTATCAAAAGCTTTGCTAAAAGCCAATTCTCATCACTGAAGCATTATAAGGTATACTTTGCCATACATAGGCCAGAAGAGTGACGGTAGTTTGCTTCTTAATTGATCAATAGGATCATTGAGTGTGATTTTGCTTCATGAAATTATTTGGCTCAGGTGACAGTTGTAGCAGTCTTTCCACTATAGTAGGTTGTGTAATGGCATCATCATTGGAATTTTCTTTATATGATCCTCTTGTCATCTCCTAACTGACCCAAAGCTGCATTCTTACATTCTGGGTGAGTCAGGGGGCACTATTTGAAAGTTAAGGATTGCCTTTTTACGTCAGAGATGAGGAGAATTTTTTTTTTCTCTCAGAGGGTTATGCGATTTTGGAACTCTTTGCCACAGAAGGCAATGGAAGCTTTTCATATTTTTAAGGTCAAGGTAGGTAGATTCTTGCTAGGAAGAGGAATCAAAGACAATCAGAGGTAGTTAAGAATGTGGAGTTCAAAACAAACATGAACTTACTGAATTGCATAGCAGACTCAAGGAGCCAAATGTTCTACTTTTCGTTCTAATTCATATGTTCAGAACCATTCATTTTTATGTAATTCTACTGACCACCAGAGATGTACTAGAAATAAGGATCAGAACTTTTAGGAAAAAGTAATTTGATCCAATAAATCCAGCCCTTCTCAAATATCAAAATGTGGAGAAGCTACACTAAATCTAGGTGGTTAGCATAGCTGTCTTTCTATGAATGATGAGGGCTGGTGTTTTTACAGCATGTTCTTTCTATCTTAAGATAATGGACATGCATTTTTTTTCTGTTAAATCATATCCTATATCTCAAAACATATATTTCATACCATTGAACACAGCTGTTGACTTGGGCCATAAGACACCTAAAATCAGGAACAAGAATATACATTACATGCGTTAAAATATACCACAGCCAGCATCGGTAGAATTTGTTCAAGTGTGCTGCAGCATTATTCCTACAGAATATTGTGCTGATGTTTCAAGTTATCATTGCATGCTTAAGTATAAAAGATCTATAATTCAAGAGAACTGTGAATGCGGTCCACTTCTGAAGATTCTTCCTGGTTGTCAAGACAACAGCAAAGTTCAGTGATTGTCATCCATTGCATTATTTATAATACTTTGGCAATAGTGATGAGACAAGATCTCTAAACAATGAGTATTTGTTGTTTAATTCTGACAAGTGCTAATATTAATTTCAGTAATTGTAAGTTAAGGATTAGGAATTGCTTTCATATCAGATGGCTTTGAAGTTGGAGTTGATCAGACTTAGCAATCCTATTTATTCTTTTTCTAATCAATATTAATCTAAACTGCACCTAGATACGTGAAGTAGATGTTGCTTTTATACAATTATGTAAGTGGGTCATTGCATGCCAGCGACCCATTTTCTATCTGCCCTTTTTAAGTAATTTATGGCATACAACAGCTACTACTTTATCTTTAAACTCTAAATGACAAGGCTTGGAATAAACAAAATGAATCAAAATATTAATTATTCACTTCAACATTGTTGATTAGTATTGCTATAAATGATTTTAACCTGCAGCCTATCAGTTTGGATCATACTTTGCTTTAGCTGTCTTCTCAAAGAACATTGTGCACTAGCATTTGCTGAGCTAAAATACCTTAGGCATCTACTTACACATTCCAAAGTATATATTAAGGATCAACATATATTATCATTTTATTCTTGTTTGAAGAGATGTTAGTTTAGATAGTCACAAGATGTAGGAAACTGTACATAATTATAAAATATTTAATGCCTCTCTGTGAACTTTTTCAAAGGTGAAGTTGGATTTGCAGACTAATGTAGGAGTGATTCAGACAGATATTTCAAACAAAGCAATGAATACTTAATTTACCAGATCAGTATGGATTGTTCATTTCAAAACTGGCAAACATTACAGAAATTGTGATGTATCAATTATAAGAAAATTATAATTTCATGGATGCCAAGGTACATAATTATGTAGCAAAACTGTTGTTTAAAACACAACTATGAACTAAATCCATCCCATTTGATCTATAACAGGTAAGATTGCAATTTAACAAAAAACTCTGTTGGAATGCCTTATAGTATTACTCAAACTTAACACCTTAATCATGGAAATGATTGTGCTTTCATTGCTAGATCTGGAGATGAAAGAAGACACCATGTCGGTGAAACATTTTCAATACTTTAATTCCCTTTTTGAGGTATACTGCATTTAGTACAGGAGTAGAAATGATTCTTTATAAAATAAAAAGACACTTGTGTTTCCCTCATATTACAGTCAAGAAACAGCTACACATAGATTATTACAGATAATAAAAATGTCTCTGAAAGGGAAGTCAATGGATGGTACCTCTTGTTCCATTACGCAGTAATTGCTGTTTGCATTGAAAGATTCTCTGAATGAATAATGGCACAGTTCATTTTGTGCTTTTCTTAATCTCACCTGTACATTTCTCAGTAAAAATAAACTCTGCTTAATAAATAATTATATAAAATAAATATATGTGATTTGGAATTGTATAAATACATCCAACGTTGCCTAAGACAATGTGAATTTAGGTTCTGCCCACATTTTTGGACAAAGGTCATGTCAATGCACGAAAAGTAATTCTTTCATTGTGGTGATATTCTGTGGTAAGAGTGAAAAGTCTAGTAGTACTCTTCGCAGTTGACATTTTACCGAGGTGATATTTTTCCAGTTACCGAAGAAAAGATTTTGTGACACTACTGTGTGAATTTAACTTGAATCCCAAGAAGAAGGCACTGGCAGGAGGGCATGTTGAAGTCTGTGATCAAAACAAGCCACCTCCCTTCATCAGCTGCTAAAATATAACATTGCTGATATCAATGCGAACTCGTAAATTTAAAGTGTAAAATCCAGACCAGGTACTTTTATTTCTTTCAGACAATGTAGCTATTGTAGGCTCAGCCAACATTTGTTGTCCATCCCTAATTGCCATTGATAAGTTGGTGGTACACCACCTCTTGAACCACTGCCGTCCTAAGCTTTAGGGATACCCACAGACCTATTAAGGTGAGAGTTCCAGGATTTTGACCCAGTGACAATGAAGAATCGGCAATGTAGCTCTAAGTCAGGATAGTGTGCGACTTCAGGTTGAACTTGCAAGTGGTGGTGTTCCCATGTATGTGCTTTCCTTGTTCTCCTAGATGGTAGAGGTCACAAGTTTTAAAAGTTGTGCTGAAGCAGCCTTGATGAGTTACTGTGGTTCATCTTGTAGATGGTAAGTACTGCTGCCAATATGTTTCAGTGATGGAGGGATATGCTGAGAGTGGTGGGTGGCATACAAATCAAACTTGTTGTTTTGTCCTACTTGGTGTTGAGCTTCTTGAATGTTGTTGAAACTGACTTCATTTAGGCAAGTAGACAGTATCCAACATATCTCTTGTACCTGTAGACAGCAAGCTAGCTTTTGGGAGTCAGGAAGTGAGTCACAGAATTCCTAGTTTCTGAGCTGCTGTTGGTCTAATTTAGTCTCTGGTTAATGATAGCCCTGACATTAGTAATCCGGATGATATTCATAATGGGTGTTCAGCAACGATAATGCCATTGAATGTCAAGGGAACATGGTTAGATTTGTTCTTGTTAGAGATGGTTATTGCCTGTTCCTTGCCACTTTTGAGACCAAGTCTGGATGTTGTCAAGGCCTTGCTGCATACGGACACACATTGCTTCCATTCTGAGTAGTCAAGAATGATATTGAACATTGTGCACTTCTGACCTTCTGAAGATTGGAGGTCTTTGATGAAGCAGCTGATTTGCGCATTTGTAGTGCTTCCTATTTGAAGAAACTAAGGCCACATCTCTGAAAGGGCATCCTCTCTCCAAATTGCTTACAGCTGTAGGAAGCTGTTGTTCGATGTCCTTGTTTCTGTGAAGAAAAGTTAAATAATTCTTCTTCATCAGATATTGAACAGCTTCAACTATATCCTAATAAATCTCGATAGAGTTCAGGTACTTTTTCAGGATCCACGGGTCTTGGCAAGAAATGTGTAAACTTCTGATGCCTTTTGGATCTGCTCCCGTCTCTTGGAGATCCATCTTTATTGAGTGCAATGAAATATCGTCTTCCTGTGTCACTGTGTTTGTACAGATTTGAAGAATACGTATTGTACCAATTCTCTTCAAATTGCTCTCTAAAGATGCATTCTGCTGTCAGTTTCTCCTGAAAGGAAAATAATGGAAAATGAAAACTACAAAACTATAAACAGTAGGTTAAAATACTAATTCTTTACAAATTTCTGTAAGATTATAAAACAGATTGATTGCTGTATCTTGGCCATATTGGGGAATTAATTTATTTCTTGGAATATAGTGTTTTTCAGAATACAAAATATCCTTGTCTTAGTTTCAGCAAGCCTCCTATTCCATTCCTCAACTTCTCTGTCTTCATTTCTGGCAATAGGCTATCAGCTACTATTCATTATAAGTCCACCGATTCCCACAGTTATCTTGACTATGTATCCTCACACCCTTCTCCCTGAAAGGATTCAATTCCATTTTTCCAGTTCCTCCGTCTCTGTCACATTTCTTCTCATGATGCAACCTTCCACATCAGTTCATCTTTTCCTTTTTCCTCAATTTCTGTTTCCAGCCCTTGACACTGTGAATGATGTAGATGGGACCCTTGATTGTGCCTGCCATATTGACCACATTTCTGTTCTCATTCCTTTCCTTCCCCCCTGAAAACAATGCAGGGTTCCCCTTGTCCTCATCTTCCACCTCACCAAACTCTATACTCAACCAACCATTTGAACCATTTCTGTCAGCTTCAGCATAATGACATCACTAAATGCACATTCCTTCCATTTCCTTTTCCACAATCTAAGGAAATTATTCCCTCTGAGATACTCTGGACCATCCTTTAAATTTCTCAAAAATCTCAAACCTTTATCCCGCACCTCTCCTTTCAAACACTGGTGATGTATAAACAACCTTTTACCTTCTTTCCTTTCATCATTCAAGGACCCAAAAATGCCTTTAAACACAGCTGCAATGTTTGTGTGTTGCATTCACTGCTCACAATGTGGTCCCCTCTACATTAAGGTGATTACTTTACAAAATACCTCTGTTCTGTCTGCAGTAGGTCCCTTGCAGTCAGGAATGGCGGAAATTTTAATGGGGAATAAAGAAATGGCAAAGAATTGAACATACATTTGGGTTTGTCTTCACAAAAGAGGACACAGTAATTTCCCAAAATTGTTAGGGAACCAAGTGACTAGTGAGAGGGAAGAATTCAAGAACATCAGTTTTAGTAAAACAAACATGGTGCATGAGAAATTAATGGGGTTAAAATCTGTAAAATCCACAGCACCTGATAATTTGCATATTACTAAAGGAAGACAAACTGGAAATACTAGATGCGTTAGTGATCATCTTCCAAAATTCTGCAGACTCTGCAGCAGTTCCTACTGATTGGAAGATGGCAAAGGTAATCCCATTATTTAAAAAAAGGAGGGAAAGAAAAAATAGAGCATTACAGACCAATTAGCTTCAAATCAGTAATGGGAAAAATGCTGGCATTCATTATAAACAACAAGATAACAGAATGCTTGGAAAGCACTAATAGGATTTGACAAAGTTAGCATGGGTTTATGAAAGGGAAATAATGCTTAAATAATCTACTGGAGTTTTTGAGGATGTACCTAGGACAATAGATAAGGGAGAATGAGTGCATGCAAAATATTTTAATTTCAAGAAGGTTTATCATAAGGTTCCACATAAGAGTCGAGTGGGCAACATTAAAGCATATAGGTTGCGGAGAAATATCATGGAATGGATTGAGAATTGGCTGACAGACTGAAAACAGAGAGTGGGAATATATGGATCATTTTTTGGGTGACAGGTGATGACCAGTTGTGTAATATAGGAATCAATGCTTGGGCCCCAGCTTTTCATGACATATAGAAATGGCTTGGGCTAGTGACCCCAATGCAATATTTCTAAGTTTGCTGATGTCAAAAAAACTAGGTGCCCTTTTGTGAGTTGAGAAAAGTGCAAGGAAGCTTCAGGACAATCTAGACAAGTTGAATGAGTGGGCAAATACATGGCAGATGTGGTATAACATGGATAAATGTGAAGTTATACATTTCAATATTGTTTGAATAATGATATATTGGGAAATGTTGGAAGAGATCTGGGTGTTCTTGTACAGCAGTCAACAAAAATAAACAGACAGATGCAGCAAGCAATTGGGAAGGCACATGGTATGTTAGCCTTCATTGCAAGAGGATTTATATTCCAAATTACGGATGTTCCATTCATTATACAGGGCCTTGGTGAGACTGTACCTGGAGGATTGTGCGCAATTTTGGTGTCACTACCGAGGAGACAATATGCTTTTCATAGGAGTGCAGCAAAGATTCACTAGGCTGATACTGGGGATAACAATGGAGAGAGAGTGGTTCAGCTGGGCCTGTATTCATTAGAGTTTAGAAGGATGAGAGGGGTTCTGATTGAAGTGTATAAAATTCTAACAAGGCTAGATGCAGGGAGGGTGTTTCCCCTATTTCAGGAGTTTAGAACCAGGGCTCACAGTTTCAGGTTATGGAGTAGGGCATTTAGAACTGAGCTGAGGTACTATTTCTTCACTAAGAGAGTGGGCAACCTATGGAAATTGCTACCTTAGAAGGCGATGGAGGCCAGAGCACTGAGTATCTTCAAAAAGAAATTGATTCTTTTTTAGATATTAAAGGCTAGATTAGTATTCAATGGGTGTGGAGAGAAAATGGGAAATGCCATTGAGATAGAGGATCAGCCATGATTATATTGAAGAAAAGTACAGGCTCACGGGTCAAATGGCTTACTCCTGTCCGTAGTTTCTATGCTTCTGTTCCAAGCCTCTGGTGGCCTGTAATTTAATTATCCAGCTTGCTCTCACGCTGACATTTCTGCCCTCAGTTTACTGCATTGTTCCAGTGAAACTCAATGTAAATTTCAGAAACAACTGTTTATCATTCAATGACGCACTTCAAAGCCTTTTGGACTCAACAAATTATTGTACCTATTTTGTTTCCTTTGCTTATTTTGTTTTTCCATATCTTTCGATCAATACCAAACATGATCTAGCACATCTTTTGTTTTTGTTTCTTTTTCTGCTCTATCACAATTCCCTAAAGTCCGGAAGGACTAACTTTTACGTCATTCAATCCTTCCACCCTATTGTAGACTTTCACTTTATCCTTGTCCCATCCATCCTTTGTTCAAACCCTATTACATCTATAACTTTTCCCAGTTCTGATAAAAATTCACAGACCTGAAACATTAATTTTGTTTCTTTCTCTCCGCCTATGCTGCCTAGCCTGATGAGATTTTTCCAGTATTTTCTGGTTTATTTAAATAAATATAGGCATGTCTGCAGACATAGAAACTTGTCACATCCACACAAATTGAATGAAATAAATTTTATATCTCGCTCAGATACTTTAGACAATAAATGTGCATAATATAGATTCCACCAATAAAAAATATTAGACAAATGTTCTTGTTGGGCCTGGACATGTTGGATAGCATATGGTTGGTTCTTAACTGCTGGAATAAAAAGGAATACAGATCACAGCAGCAATAATTGCACCAATAGTTATAGAAATAGTGCCAACAAAGACCCAGTATGTTATTTTTGTTGTCTTTCCAAATGTACAATTGTGAATGTGATTTTGGCTGTTTTGGGGAACCTTACTCAATAACTAAGCGTTTCTTCTAAACCCTTGACCACAGCAATTAACCTATATTCAGTCATAAAAACCTAAATCATTTAGGTTATTTTACTTTGACCTTGGAACTTTTTTTATGGTTAGTGATGACTAGACTGATATAAAATAACCAATTGTTAAGTCAACAGAAGATGGGAAATTATGTTTCTTTCTTTAGAAAGAATCTATTCCTAATGGGTTAGAGAGCAATGCTACAGACATTGCAGGGAACTTGTCATTTAAGCACCACCTGCTGGAATTTAAATCCATTACAGGAAAAAAAATGAGTAAACACTAATTTTGATTATGTGAAAATACTGCTGCTTGACATCAACTTTCCACTCTATTCGCTATTTATACACAACTTTTTATATTTATTTTAGGCCATTAATTGCTTTAATGGTTTCAATAAATTATATTAATTTACCAGCATTAATGTGACAAATGCAATAATATTCATCCACTATGTGTATTTAATTACCAGTAAGATTTTCATTTTAATATGACATGTTTGGTGCACATTATTGTATCTACATGAAAAAGAAGTAGTTGTAAAACAGCAAATGTAATTGCAAAATGTGCTGATCATTGTACCAATCCACTACCAGCATTAATATTCTAACATGGTATATTTCTCTTACAAAATTCATTAATTGGACCAAAAGTGCTAAAAGCCTTGAATTCTCCTTGCACTCACGGACACTAACAGGAACTTGATAAAGGTGCAGAACAGATTATACATAGGGTAGAGCTCCACCTCCCAGCAATGCTCCTGAATCAGAGTCACAGACACCCCACAGCACCAAAGTGCTATTTTTGTTTCCACCATATCCTACATTTATTATCTATCTGAGTGAGATTACTTAATTAGTATGAATAAGTATTGAGCTGTAAAACTGTACACTTGTAGGCCTGATTGCTGGTTAAAAATGCAATGTCATAGCCATCTAGTTAAATCCTTATTACAGCAGTTATATCTGATACTTTGTTTCTGGATTGTTTGGTTTTGAATGGTAATAAAATTAAAAATAAAAATTGCAGTACAAATTTCATAGAGGCATATTTTGTAACTGCCAAAAATTAAACTTTTCCTTTTATATCAGAATTCCAGAAGCATTTTCAAAAGAGATTATTTCTAATTGTCCAAGGAACTGAACTTTCCCAGTAATTACCCAGCAAGCTACATCCAGCTTTGATGGGTACTGAACAGACAGGTGGAATTCTTAAATCTTGTTGAGGAAAATTACCCATTTTGATGCTTTTGAAAATATTTGAGAAATTAGCATAAATATGTTTTGTACGAACTAAAAACTGAATCACAATAGCTCTGGTTATAAGTTATGAAGACGTCTAGAGAAATTCCTCCTTGTTATACTGATATTGTTTCAATCAGTGATACAAAGGATTTGGTGATATACAATAACGTATTTAATTATGAGGTTTCTTGACATATAGTTCTCAGATTGAAGATCCTCTGTTGTTTTCTCCTCAGCATTCCTAAGCAGCAAGTGTAGAAACTCATAGTTCCCAGAAGCACTGATGGCGTTAGGATTCTGGTTTATCTTGTACAAGATTTACCCAAAGTATTCGCATTGCAATATTAAATGTAATCTGCTTTCCTAATATGAACGTCCATCAGTTGAAATAAATCGCAATACTTACTGAGCCATACAGTTCTCCTTTATCGTTCATTCCCAGGTAGAGGCCACTATTCACTCCCCTTATGCTGACCAATCCCACAGCTATGCTGATAAACTCCAGAATCCCTGGAAAAAAGTAAAGACTTGACAATTTGTATTTCCAAAGAATTTTGAACAAGTTAACAAATGAAATGTTTAGTTTCGTTAGGCGATGGCGCGATATGCTGCAATACTTTTTGCGTTGTACTAGCAAGCAAAAAAAACGACGTTCAGAGCGGACAGGCTTGCCTTACGCGCTCGAAATAAACACTTTTTGTAAGGACTTCTATAATTTTGTCCTTACAACACGACCCACATAGTCTTTATAATTTCCGCTGGTGCCTGCCAAAACCTGAAGCTGCTTCGGGCACCATTCCATATAGGTCTCTTGATGACACAGGATTAAAATAAGACAAGAGACTTTAAAAAAAAACTTTAAAATAAAATAGCATAAATTTGCTGAACGGCGGGTTGGAAATGTCTGAATCCTAAACTCCTGCTCATGACGCTGGGAGAATCGCCAACTCTGAAATGTGTTTATTGGCGTTAGCTCGGTGATTTGGAGCAAAAGTGAGAAAGTGGATAGAATCCACTCCTGGAGACGTTATTTTGGTTAAATCCCAAAGATTGGACAATAAGGTGCTCGGTCCGGATAGCACGACTTGTTAGAATAGGTACTGAGGTCGCTGGGGAACTCAGCGTGACTGCAATATCTGCGGCTTGACACCATTCATTTCCCAACTTTCAGATGTAGCGCTAAGAATGGAACCACTGATTTGTAAGAGTTCTCCGTTTATGATTGTAATTCTGCAAACAGGCCGTTTATTTATTTCTGAAACAGGGGAGGTTGACTTTTGTTTTCTGAATGATGTTCATTAAATTTTAAATAAAAAATGCCTCAGCATAATCGCCACTCGGTGAAAATAAGATATTACAGGTCAAACATAGAGGGGTTATTTGGTCGGTTATAAAGTTCTCCAATTTCAGAATTCTGACGGGAACAAAAAAAGATGTGATTCACCTCCTGTCCAAACCACATCAGTAGGAGGGTGCATGCGGGCACAGAGTTACAGAGTAACAAGCGTTTCACAGGATGGTTGATAACTTGCGGTCGGTATTTTAATTTACCCTTGCCCTGATGCTGATGACTGATGTGGTGGCGGAGACACCGGAAAGTTGTTGGTTAAACGTTGGATAAAAATAAAAGTGCAATGATGATCCGCCTCTCCGATAACCACCCCCCACCCCCACGCCCACCACTCCCCCTCCCCATAAGGAAAACCGCGAGTGGTCTCGGTTTGGAGACATGTTTGTACCGAGCAGCGTGCTTCACTGATATTCATTCAAAAGCTGGGGGATTCACCCTGAATCTTAAATATCCAAAAAAAATGCACCGATGGCACCTAATCCACATATATAAAATATTGATCCAATTATTTTCATGTACACAGCACCTGCCAATTTCATAAATGGTTAATATTTTCTTGCAGACAGGACTGATGCAGAAATTCCCAACATTTAGCTAAAAGAAAAATTAATTGGAGATGGTACCAGAGACGCGAAACCAAGGCTAAGTGGATAAACATATCTCTGATTGTAATCGGAATCAGTCAATCTTCAGAGCATGTTTCAACGTCTCTATATGTAGTAACTTACTGAAGTTTAATGGGCAAGGAAAATTGAGAGATAGCAAAAATTACTGAGTTTAGAAAGTAAAAATGCAGACGTACCGAATGGGCTGTGGTCCCGCCTGGTCCCCTGCACTGTTCCACCAGGAAGGATTTCCAAATGAAAGCCAGTCCTACAGTACAGCTGTCTCCTTCGCAGTATCCCCTGCAAGTGCACCAAGTCGGTGGTGGTGCTTCGCGATAACCTGCTTTCGCTCTGGGCGAGGTGGTCACTCAGGAGAACCGGCGAGTCCGCCGCGGGCAGGAAGAACGGAGCTGCGATGTGCCCAGCATCCAGACCGCCCAAGTAGCTCGCGATATCGGCTAGCGGAGCCATGGTGAGCCGCTTGACTGAGAACACCGTCCAACGCTAAAATGGGGGTGGAAAAGAAAACGAAAAAAAACACACAAAAATAAAACTTTGAAAAAAGCAGAAAATGAAAGGTCGCGCCCCTGATGATCTGCGTGGTTTTCACTCAGCGGTGCACTATCTATTTCATGCTCTTAAAAAGTGCAGAGGCTTAGCGCCAGGAGGAACATATTCTAGTTTGGTTCTGAAACGGGTCAGATTAGCCGACTATTTATAGACATACCGTATGTAAATAAGCCCTTTGGGCATATGCTAATAAACCCGTCTCATTCCGATCGCCAGAGATTTTATTTATTTACTTTCAACTGCAACACACACGACCACCATATTTTACACAGTGTTCAACAGTACAAACAGCACATTGAGAAGGCGAAAGGGAGTAGTAACAGGCTGTGCTCCTAATCTCCATATTTGGTGCCGAAAAGCTGTCGGAAGCCTCCTCTTACCTTTTCCTCAAGATAGTAATATATTCGAGTTATTTCCCTGGTCCAAGACTTGCATTTTATATAAACACCGGGGAGTTTGATTTAATGAGTACTGCTTGATGTCTGTGTATTACGTGGAACAGGTGCAAAGGGAAGGTACAAGTGGAGGCGTTACCTGACACTCGTACCTGCCCAGACACATTACAGCGGAAAAAAAAACCAGTGATTTCTGGAACCAAACTTCAATCGCATATACAACATATGATGATACCATACTCTAGTGCTGGTAAAGGGAGTTCTCAGAAACGCAAAATAACAACTTGAGCCGCAATTACACTCTAATGAAACGTTACGCAAAGTCCCTTTCTGAACAAGAACATGAGTTTCATTCCGAAGTCATTTTATTTTGGATTAAGAAAAACACATGGGCGTATTATTGTGTCTTAGCCCTTTATTTACCAGACTATGGTGTAGAAACAGTACAGGGATATAAGTGTTATAGCAGCTAGCTGCATCAATTTATCACTCATCCAATTCCAGGAAACACTGAATTCAAATTCTCCATAAACAGCTGATCAAAAAAAACGGCGGCATGTCCTTTCCGAATCCAAGTATATCAAAAGAGCAAAATGATGATTGGGCAGCATTAGGAACCATTCGAAAGTGTGTGTTTAATATTTGGGCTCTGCTTCGGAATTTCTGTCCGTCTTGTTTTGTTGTAATAATCCCCATGGTTCCAATTTCAACGAAATGGGTCCTTTCTTACTGCGGTCACCTTGGCAATATACATTAACGGAATACGTAACTTCAATACCTAACTTAATCCACTTGACAAGTACGATCCTTCCATAGAGCACGAGGGTAAATGCCAAAAAACTACTTTAAAAGGTTGCGTGTGCCTACGAATCAAGTTGGCAACGGTCCAGCAATGGAGGGATTTCCAACTTAATTATATTTTTGTCTTCAACAGTAATGATGAATTACACAAAACGAGTATCAACGACCTCATAACAGGTGTCTGTTGTATCATTGCACATTGTAAACTATGAAGTCATGTGGTGGGAGCTGCTAACCGCTAGAATTGCAATCTCAAAGCATATCTGTGTGAACACAATAACTGAAATGTTAACACTTCCACTGATCAGTACTTTGAAATCTCTGTCTGATTGTAGTGTGGAATCAAAGCGAGCAGATCAAAGTTTGGAAAAATCCCATATTCAAACATTACCTTCTCAAAGTAACTTTTATGACTGCTTGAAGAGCAAGAGGCAATGCTTGGGGATCTGGTCTTTACACGTTGAAAACGATTGTAATATTAAACGAAACGTATCGCTCATACAGAGCACTGTTTGGTGCAATGCCATTAATGTAACATGCAATATTGTTAATCAATGTTTATTCTCTAGATTGGGTGGCACCCTGAACATTTTCCGTACTCACTTGCTAAGGAGGATTTGATTACACAGCAAGTTATATTTCCCTTGGGAATGATGATAAGGAAGTAACTTAATTGAATGTCTCGATTCCTTCAAATCATCTTCAACATTCCTAACTATTATTGTATTTCTAGAGTTTATTCCAATTTGTTTGGGTCTGGCAATACCAATTCCGCCAATACATTGACATTCTCAGTCGCAGGGTTAATAATTATTACATCATAAATCCGGATTTGATTACGTTGAAAACATTTCGATTTTGATCCATTTTATATGGAATAATGAACAGCCTGGTTAACTGCGGAGGTCCGCAGCCCACGATGGCTTGCAAGCCAAATTATAGGCAGATCCATCGACCTAGCGTGGGCGAGCTGGCGGGGAAAACCCGGCTTTAAAGATACTTGTGTTTTTTAATTGCCAGGCTGAATTCGAATCAAATGAGTCAGGAGATAGTCAACAGTGCCAGATCACACATTCGCAAAACGTCTCAATTGCTGATATCATGTAAGACGCGCTCACTAGTAAAACCTCATGTCTAAATTTGGCATTATTGGTTGTTTAGATACCAGTAATACTTAGTTATATAACTCCTGGATCCTGACTACGATTACCTATTCGATATTCTCATTAAATACTTCAGGAGTAGCTTTTTGAAGGTACCAACAGGGATTGATGGAGGTCACTGTTTCCAGTCAGATACAGCACTCTGGATATTGAGACAATTACCTAATGTAGATGCAAATTTTTTCAGAACACCAGGTTATTTCAGAAAAAGAAAACAACTCAAATCCTCTGTAAAGTTTGCATCAAAGGCTTGTTTTTAGTTTTTTTAAATTTTGTTTTCTAGTTTTCAATTTTTTGAAGTGCTATTGGTGCCAGATTAGGGTGCCATTGATAACTGTACTGGCAAAGAAACTGACAATTAGCCAGTCTAGAATTAATGAAGTTGGAAGGACAAAGGCACATTTAATCATGTTTAATCTCAAGAAAGAACTCCAAATTCTGGCAAAAGAATGAGCATTTAATGTAAAGTTCAATAATGCAAATGGAGAGTGCTAGAGAAACTCAGAAGGTCTAGCACCAAAAAGGCTTTGGATTCGAAATATTAACCCTGTGTTTCTCTCTCCACTGAGGCTGCCAGACTTGCTGAGATTTTCAAGAGTTTCTCCGAGTTTCTGTTTTTATTCTAGACACTCAGCATTTGAGGTATTTTGCTTTTAGAAAAAGCTGTAATCCATGTGAAGATCTAGTTCGTTAAGGTAGTGCAGTAGCTGGTATTCAAGTATGTGACTGTCTATGTAGCAATATAGGGACGCAATTATTAGGAACCAGCCACTAATCCATCTGGTCAGCAATTAAAGTCAAATAGAAATGAGCAAAAATTTCAGTCTGATTTCATCTTTCTCACACTTACACATCATTTTTCAACGATGTCCAAATGACATGGGAATGAAGAAGAAATACAAGAATTAGAGGTGCAGATTAAAGTGAAAGTGGAAATGTCACCTAATGATCATCTGGATGTGGATGCATTTGGAATGGTAGGTAAGGACACGCACTTTGCACCTCCCCAGAATAGCAACAGTGAAAGGCATGACTCCATTGGATAGTTTGAACCCAGTTCATGACCCCATTGGCCAAACATTCAGGAAGGTGTGGGGTGAGCTGGGATAAGAACACACACCTGGAAGCCACCCCCTCAGCAAAGACTCATAGCAAGACCCACTTAGACTCACAGTAAGACCTGCAGCAAGGCTTGTGGCAGAAGATCATGCAGCAACCCAGGAAGTCCCAGGAGAAGATTCGCCCTGACCTATGAGACCCATCTTCATGGCAGAGAGCCATCCATACGTCAGAGTAAGGATATTTCCATGGACCAGCTCAAATATATGGATCATTGCCCAAAGCTTCTTGTTTGGAGCAGTGGGAGTGTGAGCCAGGGTGCCGACGGGAAGGTAAGGTTTTATTTTCCTGTATAAAAACTTACCTTGTGCAGCAGCGGCCTTCTTGTTTGGAGCAGCGGGTGTGTGGACAGAACACGAGTGAGGAAGGAACTAATATATTTGGGCATTGGCTAAACCCGAAACACTACACGTGTAGTGTCTCCCACCCATCCTTCTCCTCTAACCAAAAAAAAGACTGTGTGGAAGGTCGGTAAGGTAAGGCTTTTTTTTAATTCTTCTGGAAATCTAGAGTAGAGGGAATGGAAGTGAGGGCAGTTGCATGCTCCTCTTGCAGGATGTGGAAGGTAAGGGTCACTGCTGGTGTCCCCTCTGACTTCACCTGCGAGAAGTGCACCCAACTCCAGCTCCTCACAAACCGCGTTAGGGAACTGGAGCTGGAGCTGGTTGAACTCTGGATCATTTGGGAGGCTGAGGGGGTGATAGAGAGGAGTTATAAGGAGGTGGTCATACCCAAGGTACAGGGAAAAGGTAGCTGGGTGACTGTCAGGAAGGGGAAAGGGAATAGGCAGACAGTGCAGGGATCCCCTCTGGCCGTTCCCCTCAACAATAAGTATACCGTTGTGGATACTGTTGGAGGGGATGACCTAACAGGGGAAGACGATAGCGGACAGGTCTCTGGCACTGAGCCTGGACCTGTGGCACAGAAGCGGGGAGAATAGGAGAGCAATTGTAGTGGGGGATTCAATAGTAAGATGCACAGACAGCCGGTTCTGTGGTCACGAACGAGATGAACGGATGGTATGTTGCCTCCCAGGTGCCATGGTCTGTGACATCTTGGGTCGTGTCTTTAGGATCCTTAAGGGGGAGGGTGAGCAACCAGCAGTCATGGTACACATTGGTACCAATGACATAGGTAGAAATAGGACTGAGAATGTGACAAACGAGTACAGGGAGTTAGGTTGGAAGCTGAACTCCAGGACAAACAGGGTAGTTATCTCTGGATTACTACCAGTGCCACGTGATACGAGGTAAGAAACAGGGAGAGAGTGCAGCTAAACACGTGGCTACAGGGCTGGTGTAGGAGGGAGGGCTTCCATTATGTGGATAATTGGAGCACATTCTGGGGAAGGTGGGACCTGTACAGGAAGGACAGGTTGCACCTGAACCAGAAGGGCACAAATATCCTTGGAGGGAGGTTTGCT